GAGTGTGCTCCATTCATCTAATTGGCTGCCAGCCCTGTCACTCAACGCACTGAGTCACATTTGGGTAAAAAGAATGAATTATGGAGTTTTTATTATTATATTGTTGCGCAACTATAAACTATGAACTATGAATTATAATTTATGAAATGTGAATTATGAATTCATGAACAATGAAATATTAAGTTTGAAATATGATTTATGAACAATGAATTATGAAATATTAAGTTTGATTAATTGATGGAATGAAATGATAAAATTAGCTAATTTGTATATTTGAATATTGAATAATGAATTGTGTCAAACTATTTATGGGTTTTTTCCTGTGACCTCTGTTTTATAGGTCAGGTTTTTTTCCCCCTCCCAAAATCAATGATTCCTCTACTCCAGAGGTGGCGAGCTATATCTGAACCTACAGACCTGGTAGGATTGTTTTTTTTCCCCTCCTCCCTTCTCCTCCTAAGTTGGATTATGAACTTTTAAAACAAAAGGAATAAACATTTGCGTTTCGTTTTGCATCTCCAAACAAAGGAATGAACATTTGCGTTTGCGTTTGCGTCTCCACAAGCATTGAACTTTTTGCGTTTGCGTTCCCAAGGAAACTTTAAAAAAAAAAAGGATTTCGAAGTAAAAAACTGAGAGAAACCAAGGATTTGCGTTCAGACAAAAGAACAAAGCAAAGGACATTTAAAAAGAAGTCTTATTTGTGTTATTGTGTGGTCTTTTGCCACAATTTTTGTTATTCATTGTACAATATTAATATAATTATCTTTAAATCAGATCTATTTGTGTTGTTTTCTGTCATCTATCACAAGCTCCTCCTCAAATCTGGTTCTTCTGTTTACATTACATCCATTGCACATCTCACTAGTCTTAACACATAAAATAAAATAATAAAGTGTTACATTTGGCGAGCTAGCCAGGAGCTTGTGTTGATTGACAGTATTACAGTTTAACGTTTTGGGGAAAAACTGCAATTATGGAATTTTTTGAGAAGTCGGGGGTTAATGTCAATAATTCTGTGAGTGTTTCTGGTATTACACATTCATCAAAAGATAATGAAATACTAGATATTCTGAAAAAGTATGGTAAATACAAAATAATAGAAGTAACTGACATAACTCACCCCCTTGCTAAAAACCTGGTCATTGAGTTTAAGAGTAGTTCTGCTATGGCAGAATTAAAGAAAATACTCCCATATACACACACTTCTGAAAGTGATCCAAATCACACGTATTATGTTACAACGATTGAAAACACAGCAACAACTGAAACCCCACCCCTCAACTACATGGATGAAATCAAACAGCTTGCACGACGGAGTGGACAAAAATTTGAAATTGTGCTTCAAGATCTCATGTCACAAATAAGTGAGCACTTGGATACTGCAACTGGTGGAGAGGAAATTGCACAAAGAGTGGAACCTGAACCTCCCTTGCCTGGCCAGCAGGGGGAGTTTAAACATCAAATTCCACTCAGACTTTCTGAAGCAGACATAAATCCACCTCAAATTCAAAAAATGGTTGTGGAGCATGTATTAAAAACTGAAGAATGTGCATCACTCTCTATGCCCACCTTAAAACTCCGCTCTTTCTCAGGCAAGATACCAAAACCCCCACATGAAAGTGATTATGAAACATGGAGAGCACATGTAGAACTGTTACTGGCGGATGTGAATCTACCTCCACTTCATGTTACCCGGAAAATTTTGGAGAGCCTCTTATCCCCAGCAGCCGACGTTGTCAAAGGGTTGAAACCTGATGCCCTGCCTTCACTCTATCTGCGAATATTGGATTCAGCATATTCCACAGTGCAGGATGGGGAGGAATTATTCGCACAGTTTTTGAATACTCTGCAAGATCCTGGAGAAAAACCTTCCAGCTATCTGCAGCGGTTGCTGTTAACTTTGAATACAGTTGTCCAGCGTGGTGGTGTCACAGCAGCTGATGTTGACAAATATTTATTGAAACAGTTCTGTAGAGGGTGCTGGGACAATGGCATTATCAATAAGCTGCAGCTGGAACAAAAGAAAGAACGACCACCACCTTTCTCTGAACTGCTTTATCTGTTGAGAACCGAAGAGGATAGGCAGTCAACAAAAGAAGGTCTGATGAAAAAACACATTGGTTCCAAGCAGCGTGCCACCCTTCTCTCTCAAGGTGCTTGTCCCTACAGCCATAGTAACGATCCAGATACTATCTCTCTCACACAACTCAAGAAACAAATGGACATGTTGCAAAAGCAGATGGCAACACTTCTTGCTCAAACAAATCAGAAATCCAAAAATACTTACGGCAAAGAATACAATACACTTGGAAAAACTCAAAATACAAACAGCCGTCCAAGACCTGGATTCTGTTATAAGTGTGGTGAGGATGGACACATTGTTTCAAATTGCAACAAACCCCCTAATCCAGCACTTGTACAGCAAAAGAAAGCTAAGTTGGCTCAAAAACAGGCACAATGGGATCAAAATAATAAACAGAAATTGTTAAACTAAACTCAGTCTCTCCTGTGGGGCAAGCAGAGGCTGCTTTCACAAAGTGTCCCAATTTTGGAACTCAGAAACATTTCATATCCCTGCCACGAGGGCTTGTTGGAACAAAATGTACAGCTCGTGTCACTATCAAAAATACTCCATTTAACTGTCTACTGGATACAGGATCACAGGTCACCACAATACCAGAGTCTATCTACAATACATTTTTATCAGAGCACACACTCAGACCTCTGGATGAACTCCTTGAAGTGGAGGGAGCTAATGGCTCATCAGTCCCTTATCTGGGCTATATTAACTTGGACATTACCTTTCCGCCAGATTTCCTGGGCACGCCCATTGACATTTCCACTTTAGCTTTGGTGGTGCCAGATCTTAAACCCTCTCATCAGTCCCTTGTTCTCATTGGAACTAACACTTTGGACATTGTCTATGCTGTCCATAGCCAACAAAGTCCTGGTTTTCGACCTGTTCCTTTTGGTTACCGCACTGTACTCAATATTTTAGAACAAAGACACAAATCCAATCAGAAAGAACATCATGGACTGGTGAAACTTCATAGCCACACTGCACAAACGGTACCTGCCGGGCAGACCATGGTGTTAGAAGGCATTGCTGTGTCACACTTAATCACTAATGAAAAAGCAGTAATGATTGAACACCCTACATCCTTTTACTTACCTGGTGGTCTAATGATCCAGACTTGTCTTGTTGATTTTCCAACCCAGCAGCACCCCGTTTTCTTGCCAGTTCCTGTCACAAATGAATCCAACCATGATGTTACCTTACCTCCTCGTGCTTTGCTTGCCGAAATCAGTGTTTTCCAGTCAACTGCTTGTGCCATCCAAACCAACTCACAAACGACAAACACCTCACCTACACCGTTGTTTGATTATAAGTTGGACAACCCTGCACTCACACCTGAATGGAAAGCCAGAATCATCAATAAACTCAATAGCATCCCTGAGGTCTTTGCTAAACATGACTTGGATTTTGGCAGAACTGACAGGGTAAAGCATCAAATAAAGCTTACTGACCCCACACCGTTTAAACAGAGACCACGACCCATACACCCACAAGATCTTGACGCAGTTCGGCAACATCTTCAAGAGTTGTTTGATTCTAAAGTCATCAGAGAATCCGACTCACCTTTTGCTTCACCCATTGTGGTGGTAAGAAAAAAGAACGGAAGCGTCAGGCTCTGTATAGATTACCGGAAGCTCAACTTACAGACCATAAAGGATGCTTATGCACTTCCTAAGCTTGAGGACACGTTCACCGCACTTTCAGGGTCCCAGTGGTTCTCAGTTTTGGACTTAAAATCTGGATATTATCAGATAGAGATGGAAGAACAGGATAAGTGCAAAACTGCTTTTGTGTGCCCACTTGGGTTCTGGGAATTTAACCGGATGCCCCAAGGAGTTACCAATGCTCCGTCTACGTTTCAGCGCTTGATGGAAAAGTGTGTCGGTGAAATGAATCTAAAAGAGGTGCTCGTCTTTATAGATGACCTAATTGTTTTTGCGCCTACTTTGGAGCAACATGAGGAGCGACTCATGAGAGTTCTTAACCGCCTTAAGGATTTTGGCTTAAAGCTCTCTGTTGAAAAGTGCACCTTCTTTCAGAACTCCGTACGCTACCTTGGACATGTTGTGTCCCAGAATGGGGTTGAGACAGATCCAGAAAAGTTACAGGCATTAAGATCATGGCCTGTCCCAAAGAATCTGAAAGAATTGCGATCATTTCTCGGATTTTGTGGTTATTACCGAAGATTTGTTCAAGGATATTCCAAAATCGTACAACCATTACACCAACTAACATCTGGATACCCACCTTCGCAGAAAACAAAAAAGCCATTTGTGAGACCTGAAAACTATTTCAATCCAAAAGACCCATTGGGGAACCGCTGGACATCTTCCTGTCAACAAGCATTCGAAACAATAAAAGAAAAACTTACCTCCGCACCCGTTCTCGCCTTTGCTGATCTATCAAAACCTTACCTTTTACATACAGATGCTAGTTCAACAGGACTAGGTGCCATATTATATCAAGAACAAGACGGAAAAGAACGAGTGATTGCTTATGCCAGCAGGGGCCTATCCCGTAGTGAGTCCAAATATCCAGCCCACAAGCTTGAATTTCTTGCCCTGAAGTGGGCAGTTACAGAAAAATTCAGCGACTATCTATATGGCACTACTTTCACCATTGTAACCGACAGCAATCCCTTAACCTACTTACTCACTTCGGCAAAACTTGATGCTACAGGCTATCGCTGGTTGTCTGCTCTGTCCACCTACTCATTTAAAATCATTTACCGGACAGGCCGGCAAAATGTGGATGCGGATGGTCTTTCCCGCAGACCTCATGGTGACCTCAAAGCAGACTTTGTATCAGAGAAAGAAAAGGAAAGAATACTCCGATTCGCTGAGCAGCATCTTGAAAGTCCTAATGTCATAAACATAGACCAATGTACCGTCCGAGCACTTTCAGAGAGAGACAGCTAGTCTGTAGTGCTCCTGATTACGCCCTTATCCATTCTTTGTCCATGTCCACCAACAGTATTCCAGACAGTTACTCTGAAGACGAACAGTTTGCCTTACCTCTGGTTCCTCAGCTGAGTCCAGCTGAGATGGCTAAAAAACAACGTGCTGACCCAATTCTGAGCCACGTCATATCACAGTTGGAAACTGGCATATCACCACCCCCTCTCTTGAGAGAACAGTTACCAGAGCTGCCACTTCTTCTACGGGACCTAAATCGATTGGAGCTCCAAAATAATGTCCTAGTTCGAAGGAGGCAACTTGGCGACCAGCTACATTACCAACTTGTGCTACCCCAGGAGTGTCGCACGGATGTTCTTTTCAACTTGCATGACAAGATGGGGCACATGGGCATTGATCGAACCTTGGATTTGGCGAGGAACCGATTCTACTGGCCTCGCATGGCTCATGATGTCCAAGCCAAAGTTAAGATGTGTGAAAGGTGCGTAAAACGCAAAGCACCGCCACAGAAAGCTGCACCACTGATCAACATCAAAACCTCACATCCCCTTGAACTCATCTGTATTGATTTCCTGACTCTTGAACCAGACAAAAGCAACGTCAAAGATATTTTGGTCATCACTGATCACTTCACCAAATATGCCCTTGCCATACCCACCCCAAATCAAAAAGCTAAAACAGTTGCAAAAGCTCTCTGGGACAATTTTTTTGTACATTACGGTTTCCCTGAAAAAATACACAGCGATCAAGGACCAGATTTTGAATCCAAAACAATCAAAGAACTCTGTACACTGGCTGGAATCACCAAAACCAGAACAACTCCATATCACCCACGCAGCAATCCAGTTGAAAGATTTAATCGAACTTTACTTGACATGCTCGGAACCCTAACAGTACAAGAAAAAACCCACTGGAAGGACTTTGTAAAGCCACTTGTCCATGCGTACAATTGTACACAAAATGATACCACCGGCTTCACACCATACGAGTTAATGTTTGGTCGACAACCACGACTTCCAATAGACCTTGTTTTCGGTTTACCAGTCATCAAACCTTCCTTGAATCACTCAGAATATGTCCAAAAACTGAAATCTACATTGAAAAAGAGCTACCAACTGGCAGCTGAAAATGCAGAAAAAATCATGCAAAAAAACAAAACACGTTTTGATACAAACATCAAAGCATCTACACTCGATGTTGGGGATCGTGTTCTTGTGCGAAATGTCAAGTTGAGGGGGAAACACAAAATCGCGGATAAATGGGAGTCTCAGGTGTATGTGGTGGTAAAGAAGTCAGGCAACTTACCAGTTTATACTGTGAAACCTGAGGATGCAGAAAAGCCACTAAGAACTCTGCATCGAGACTTGCTTTTACCTTGTGGCTGCATACCTGTTACCTCCAATGTACAGCCTGTGCCTGTGGCAAAACCTGTAACACCTCCTTTACCACCTGAAGATTCTGACATTGATCATTCCTCTGACGATGAACAGATTGCAAGATGGTACCCTGAACCTGTTACTGAACCAGTTCGATTTTCTACCACTGTGACACTTCCCAGTTCACCTGAAATCTTTGCTCCAACCAGTTCCGAAAATCTTGATCCGCAACCACCTGAAACATTAGAACACGAACCTCTAGGAAGCCCTGAACCTGCTTTGTTGCCAGAACTGTCTATACATTCCGATCCGGTGCATGACATTGATGAGGCTGCTCAACCTGAACCTGAAATTGACAGCAGCTTACACGAACCTAACTCTGACTTGTCATCACCTGTCGACGAAACAGAACAACGTCCCACTAGAACCAGACGACCACCAGACAGATTTCAATATCAGCAATTGGGCCAGCCAATTCTGAAAAGCATGCAAACGATCTTCGAAGGACTTGGAAAGGCTCTGTTTCTGGCAGTGACAGATCACGACATCTCGTCCTCTGGCCAACCATCAGCCCATGTACAGGGACGTACATGAGGTCAGGGGGGGACCCTGTAGCCCACGTCTCATATACTGCCCATTCAATCACTCTGCCATCCAATACCATCATTTCACTCGCTCTGCCACAAGAGGCGCTGTGTTTAAATGTCGCCGCGGCATCTTGTCACTCACTTCCTGCTCCGGCTTGGACTGGCAGAAACGACAGAAACACCGCTCAATAAACTCATCAAATCACAACTGAAAATTGCCAAACTCAATGGTGAGTCAACTAAAGACTTTATTTACAAGACCGCATTGTCCGATGTAACGAAAGAAGCCTCAAAAAAGTTTAATGAAATAAAAACGGCACTTCCGCATTTGCCGCGACGAACTTTTCAGTTGTTTGTTGTCCCAAACTTTATAATATTGCATTATCAAGTAATATTATTTAAGTCTACTTCAAGTAGATAGATTAATTTATGAACTGTATGAAGGAAAGCTCGATTGATTATTTTGATTACGAGTTTTTTAAGTTAATAAGGGCTAATGAGTGTGCTCCATTCATCTAATTGGCTGCCAGCCCTGTCACTCAACGCACTGAGTCACATTTGGGTAAAAAGAATGAATTATGGAGTTTTTATTATTATATTGTTGCGCAACTATAAACTATGAACTATGAATTATAATTTATGAAATGTGAATTATGAATTCATGAACAATGAAATATTAAGTTTGAAATATGATTTATGAACAATGAATTATGAAATATTAAGTTTGATTAATTGATGGAATGAAATGATAAAATTAGCTAATTTGTATATTTGAATATTGAATAATGAATTGTGTCAAACTATTTATGGGTTTTTTCCTGTGACCTCTGTTTTATAGGTCAGGTTTTTTTCCCCCTCCCAAAATCAATGATTCCTCTACTCCAGAGGTGGCGAGCTATATCTGAACCTACAGACCTGGTAGGATTGTTTTTTTTTCCCCTCCTCCCTTCTCCTCCTAAGTTGGATTATGAACTTTTAAAACAAAAGGAATAAACATTTGCGTTTCGTTTTGCATCTCCAAACAAAGGAATGAACATTTGCGTTTGCGTTTGCGTCTCCACAAGCATTGAACTTTTTGCGTTTGCGTTCCCAAGGAAACTTTAAAAAAAAAAAGGATTTCGAAGTAAAAAACTGAGAGAAACCAAGGATTTGCGTTCAGACAAAAGAACAAAGCAAAGGACATTTAAAAAGAAGTCTTATTTGTGTTATTGTGTGGTCTTTTGCCACAATTTTTGTTATTCATTGTACAATATTAATATAATTATCTTTAAATCAGATCTATTTGTGTTGTTTTCTGTCATCTATCACAAGCTCCTCCTCAAATCTGGTTCTTCTGTTTACATTACATCCATTGCACATCTCACTAGTCTTAACACATAAAATAAAAATAATAAAGTGTAAATTTTTAAAAAAAACTTTAACCAAAAAATCCATTTTTTCGTATGAACTTTTCAAAAGGACACATTCCAAGAACTTACTGAACTGAAATAAATGAAAAAAAAAAAGAAAAAAAAGTTTGTGTGTGCTGCATCACTTCTTTTTTATTGGAAGAAGTTTCTGTTTAGTTTTGAACAGGGCTACTCTGTCGGCCAGCTCCTGATCTGCCTGAACTTTGGCCAAACACTCAGCTGCAATGTCGCTTAATTTTTTCATTCCAGAATTTTTCACCACCTCATTGTAGGTGTCTGGAGCCACAATGACGAGCTCTGCAATGGGAGCATTTTGCACAATGGTATTGCGGATCAATACCGACACGCTTGAACGCACCAGACATGGTCCCCAGCTTCTTGTAAAGGTGAAGGATCTTCTTGTACCTTTCTATGACTTGATCAGGGTTCTGCGCTGCAATTTACACAGTAAAATTTAGATTTAGCAGATATATTTCAGCACAGATTCTAAAGATCCATCATTAATTTTCAATGAGATTTTTTACTCTCTCAAAAAGTGTTAATATTTTTACCTCCGCCAAGGAGGTTATGTTTTTGCCGGCGTTTGTCTGTTTGTTTGTTTGTCTGTTTGTTTGTCTGTTTGTTTGTTTGTTTGTTTGTTTGTCTGTTTGTTTGTTTGTTTGTTTGTTTGTTTGTTTGTCTGTTTGTCTGTTTGTCTGTTTGTTTGTTTGTCTGTTTGTTTGTCTGTTTGTCTGTTTGTTTGTTTGTTTGTTTGTTGTCTGTTTGTTGTTTGTCTGTTTGTTTGTTTGTTTGTTTGTCTGTTTGTTTGTTTGTCTTTTAGCAACATAACTCAAAAAGTTATGGACCGATTTTGATGAAATTTTCAGGATTTGTTGGAAATGTGAAAAGGAAGAACTGATTTCATTTTGGGGATGATCCGGAAGAAATCCTGGATTCTGGATCACTTTGAAATTTTAGTTAACATTGTGGTAAATGGGGCCAAAAATTTTGTTTCTCAATATCTCGGTTAATTATTGACCAAACCCCATGAAATTTGACTCAGGGATGGACAATGGGATCCTCTTTCATATTCCAAATTGAAAGATACGAGACAAATATTTATGGAAAACACAATTAATATGAGGGGGACTGTAGTCCTTGGCGGAGGTCTGCGCTCTCTGACTGCTTTTCTGTTTTTTTCATTAAAGTGCACTGCCCTGCATGCAATGTCATAATAACATTTCAAATAACAGTACAGTGCATTTCTATACACTGTAGTAAAGTGGACATGTGGACCCCTCCTAGCCCATAGACTGACAATGTCACATCACAAAGGAAGAGCCAGCCTGGAGAATTCAACATTCAGAAGAGCTCAGTAGGAATAAACTGAAAAAAAAAAAAAGAGGTAAGATTGAAATTATTGTTTTACCTCTTTGCATGTATTTTGATTCTCTCTTTTCCTTCTTCACTGTCTTCCCCTTCTTCGCCTTCTTCTTCCCCTTCTTCCTTTTTGTTCTCCTCTGATGAGGATGTGTCAGATGACTCAGCGCTATTGTCCACTGAGGTATCTGAAGAAGAAGATGCCTGAATACAGCTCTCCCCTGAGATACTGCCCGCCCTTGTGCTACTGCTCCCCACTGTACTAGTGGCATCAGGATTCCTCTTAAGAGCTGTAAAAAAAAATACACAAGGAATGGAACAGAACACATGTAAAATCTGCATGCATTAAATCCTGAGCTAGAATAGGCAATTTCTGTTTCTTAATGGTCGGATTATAATAAATGTTGTGTTATTATATTTAATTGTGGCAATGTGTTTCTGCTCTTATGGTAAAAGAGCAGTAACACATTGCCACACTGAACCCCCCCCAGGGCCTAGGTCAGTGCAGTGTAGTGTACAGGTGCACTGTACATCAAAGAATAATACCATACTTGAACTAAACTACTGTGTTGTGAGACAGACCTGCTGCAAGTTGTTCTTTAAGGTAGTCTCGTTCTGTGGTGAGCTCCTCAATTTTGTCATTTTGCCACTCCATCCTCATCTTGCACAGCTCCAATTCACGAGCCATATTTGTTGTCGCCAGCCGAGCTGTTGGAGCCATGGACACATCTAACAAAAAGAAATAGGTTATTATCAATAAAATGTAGAAAGTTCTACAGTATCTCATTGGACCCACAATGAAAGACACATATACACATGCACAGAGATTTTATTTTATTTTTTTTCATTTCTGTCCAGTACTAATGACGACTTGATATACCAACATAACAATAACATTGCAATTATAATATAATTACAACCACTTCAAACTACCTGGGCTACTGTTTCATGGCAATGAGTGATATGTCAAAACACAAGAAACAGCAACAGCAGAACATCCATTAAGTTGATCTTTTGAGTAAGACTTTCAATCTGAAGGTTGTGATAAAATGTCTGTGAGGAATTTGGTAGGGATACTATGTAGTTTTGTCAAATTTTGTTTAGCTCTTTGTAACATTTGAGCTGAAATAGAGCAACAAAATATAGCGA